ATAGATAGATAGATAGATATCTAGATATGTTTCTTAATTTTTAAATTTTGTTTTTGAGATAAGTTGAATAAGAAGAAGTGAGAAGGGGGTAGGATATATTTTATATATTAAAACAACAATAATACAGAGAACAAATAGATTAAACATACTCAACAATCAACTTCTTGTATAATTCTGTTTAACCCAGCTCATCAACATAATTATCCAATAGATGCTTTTTGTAGCTCTTCTTAAATTGATTTACCTTTATGCATTTTTTCAAATCTTCACTCAAATTGTTCCATAATTCAACCCCACATATTGTTGTACACATACTCCTCTTTGTTGTACGAACTCTCTGTTTTTTGAAGTTTAATGCCTCTCTTAAATTGTACCCATCATCTTTATCATTAAACATTTCCTGTATATTACATGGAAGTAAATTATTTATTGCCTTAAACATGATTACTGCTGTTTTAAACTTTATCAGATCAAAACATTTTAACACTTGTAATTTTAAAAACAGTGTTGTTGTGTGTTCCCTATATCCCACATTGTATACTATCCTTATTGTTCGTTTTTGCAGTATGGATAGTGATTGTAGATTACTCAGGTATGTGTTTCCCCAAACTTCCACACAGTAATTCAAGTAAGGCATTACCAGTGATGAAAACAGAATATACAATGATTCTTGATTCAGTAAATGTTTTATTTTACCCAAAATGCCAATGCTCTTTGCCAATTTTGTTTGTATATATTTAATATGTGGTTTCCAGCTAGTTTCCAGCTAAAATTGTGGTCTAGGATAACCACCAGAAATTTTGTTTCATAAACTCTCTCTATTCTTACATTTTCTAACATCAGTTTTATCTCAGAGTCCACTCTTCAATTTCCGAACAAGATGACTTTGGTCTTGTCCAAGTTTAATGATAATTTGTTCAAGCTGAACCATTCTTTCAACTTACTCATTTCAGTCCTCACTTCTCCCAATAAATGAAGTATAGTTTCCCAGGAACAAAGAGCATTGGTGTCGTCTGCAAACAAAACAACTTTTAATCTTTCTGAAACCATAACGAAGTCATTTATATACATAATAAATAACTTAGGGCCCAGTACTGACCCTTGTGGTACACCAACAGTTATGTCGAGACAGTTGGACATGACATCTCCCATTTGAACAAAGTGTTGTCTATTTCCCATATAACTGTTTAACCAGTCCAAAACCACCCTTCTAATGCCATGTCTTTCCATTTTCACTAATAGCATGACAAGGTCTTGATGCAATTTGCTGGGTTCCTTATATAGGAAACATTATTTCTGATTGGCTTAATGAACTGTGAATTGGAATGTTTATTATGTGAAGTGCCTTGAGATGACTCTAGTCGTGATTTGGCGCTATATAAATAAACTTGAATTGAATTGAATTGAATAGTATCAAATACTTTTCTGAGATCAATAAAAACCATGGATCACAAAGGGACTGTTAAATGCTTGTAAAAAACAAGAATATTCTAACAACTGATTATTCCATGAAATGAAAACGTGAGAGAATAAATCTCAATAATATTGCTTGTTTTGTTTTTATTAGAAGGGAAGACGTAAAATAAACATGCAGCAGCTAAAAATCATCTTGATCTTTTTCACATTTAGTTTTTGTGTTTTGGATGAAGGATGACGTTTAGTTTTCCCTTTGATTCTAAATATCTGATTTGTTTTTTAGCTTTTATTGTTGAATATGAATTTGTGCTGTAGGTTTGCAGACTCAAACGTTCTGAGTCTTTGTGGCTGAGAAGGTGTGGCCGGACGAGTCAGACCAGATTGATTTATATAATAACTGTTTCCCGCACAGGGAAGTGCTCCGAGTCCCCGGCAGCAGCAGCAGGGATGAACTGGTCCGGGCTGGAGAGCCTGGTGAGCGGAGTTAATAAATATTCCACAGCGTTCGGGAGGATCTGGCTCTCCATGGTGTTTGTGTTCCGAGTTCTGGTGTTTGTGGTGGCGGCGCAGAGGGTGTGGGGAGACGAGAACAAGGACTTTGTGTGCAACACCAAACAGGTGAGGTCCAATAAATCAAATGTTCACAGGTGGAGAGACAAGCTTCCTCGTGAGAGGAGTCACCTTGTCACGGTTTAACTGATGACGGGGGAATGTTCAGCTCAGACTCTAATTTTTGGTCAGACCCTGAACCCTGAAAAGGCAGGAAGTGGAAAACTCTGTAGCAACCAGTGACTCTGCCCCTAGCTAGTCAGCGACGTTGGGTTTTCAGCTTGGCTTACTATGTTTGGAACATTACTGGACCATTTCTGCCAGATTGTCTCAGTTTGGCCTGGGTCCACGGCGTCTTCACTAGCAACGGGTCGGGTACCAGGTCTCCGCCCCTTTTTAGTACCTGCTTCAAATGGGCCATTCCCATCTGTACCGGGTCGGCCCGGGCCGGGTAGCCCCAGTCGGCCCCAGCCTGGCCCGGTTGATTCCACACATCCTTGCCTTAAGCCCATGTGGGCTGATTCTACCCACCAATCAGATGCTTGCTCTGATGGAAGGTGTGAATTTGCTGTCAGCAGTGGGTGTGTTGGCCCTGGTCGGCCTGAAGCAGACCCCCTCGAGAAGAGGGCTGACAATGAGCCTTGGTTGGCCCGGAAAAATACCAGGCCACCCAGATATGTAAACAACCTACGCTACCCGGCCCGGGCCGACCCGGTACAGATGGGAATGGCCCAAAAGTGGATAGAAGTGTACCGAGCCAGACCAGGAAGGACCTACGCCTCTTCACTGGTTGCTCCAGCATGCTCCACAAACTGAGCTGAATGTTGACCGTCACCACCAAGTCCTCCTCCGTTGTTGTGTTGTTTTGGGTTTTTGCATCGCGTACGGATCACTTTGCTCTACCTTTCCAACTGCGATGAGCCATGTTTGTGTCTTTTGACCTCTGACCAAAAACTAAATGTTTAACCCAGGCCGACAGATCGTCAGCATTTTTTTGGCACTTGAGCCTCATTTCGTCCCAGTGTGTCGTAGAAGTTTGTCGAATAGAGCGCCACCTTGCCCCCAGCTGGTCGCCAGTGGTATTTTTATGGCATCGCTGTAATAACTGAATTTACCCACTGAGGAAGAAAGTTGGACTTTATTAACCAGCTGTGACTTTTTCAGCCTGGTTGCACCAACGTCTGCTATGACCACATCTTCCCCATCTCCCACATCCGTCTGTGGGCGCTGCAGCTCATCTTCGTCACCTGCCCATCTCTGATGGTGATGGCTCACGTTAAATACCGTGAAGGGAAGGACAAGAAGTATGTGGAGCTGCACCAAGGCTCACATCTGTATGCCAACCCAGGCAAGAAGAGAGGGGGCCTGTGGTGGACGTACCTGCTGAGTTTGGTCTTCAAGGCTGGGTTTGACACCTCATTCCTCTACATCCTGTATCGGATCTACCACGGATACGACCTCCCTAAGTAAACCTTGTGATGTCATCTCACATTAAAATAATACGTGCTTGGTGCCATTAATCTGTTTTATCTTCTACGCTAGGTTGTCCAAGTGTTCACTGGACCCGTGTCCCAATACCGTAGATTGCTTTATCAGTCGTCCAACAGAGAAGAAGATCTTCATGCTGTTCATGGTCGTGTCCAGTGCTCTCTGCATCTTCATGTGCATTATGGAGATGATGTATCTGATCGGAAAACGCATCATCAAGGTGCTGAGGATCCAACACAACAACGAGAGGCTTACGTTCGCCAACCATCAGGAGTCCGCCACGGTGGTCCCTCATCAGTCTCAGCATCGCCGGATCGATCCGACGCTGGCAGAGAGCCAGCTCAGCCTGAACCGGAGGGAGAAGCTGGGACAGAAGACCACTTTCTTGTAGGAGACACTGAATCACACCGCTATGAGTGCGCATTCAGAAACAAGAAGTAACTGATGAATCATGAGCTATGATCGCGTGCAACGCTGATGATTTTACGTCCAAAGAAACGATCGCCCGACCATCGGGAATGATGACATTCCGGTCATGCTGGTTTTCACAGCGTAGGAATCTGACCATAGCTGTTTGAGAAGCTGCAGTGATGTTTAATTCAGATCTTCAGATGGGCCGTCTGATTTCTGCTTCCAGGAGGACCAAACAGACTCTGCGATGAGGTAATGACTACAGACGTCTCACAGCGTTTGTCATTTGTCAGGCTGATATGGTGTCAACTTCTGATCACTGTCATTGAACTACTGTCACTGTTTTACTTCAGCTGGGTTCATCGGGAGCTGGAGGCGGGCTCAAGGAGGAAAACAGCCAATAAATATGTTGTGAGCTCCATGTTTAAAATCTCAGAGTTAGCTTCATTTTTCTCTGAATAATTTCAGACAAAATCCTCCAAAAACCAGAACAACACGAGCTGGTTGGCCCCAAGCCCCCACAATGCGGGACAGAAATTGAGGCCAATGCGGAAATGAAAGAAATTGCAGTTCCACCCTCATCCACTAGGGGCTGGTGTCAGAAGCAAGCAAATCCTCATTGACTCCCATATTAATAATACCAATTTCACAGCAGAAATAAACATGTTTACAGCCTGGTACCAAAACATGTTTTTGGTTTAAATGATCTAGTTTATATTCATGACAACTCTGAGGGGGGTGAATTTTTTCTCACTCTTCTGTTTATTATTAGTATTAAAAGCCTAAAATTCTGTATAATTAATGAGCATCAGACCCACGTGACCGCAGAGCTAGCTCCGGGGAAATGCCTCAGTAGAGCCTCGGCCTCGCCTGAAAACTGTTCCGCCATTTTCAGTCTCTCAACTTAGACCATTAGTTGTGCAGTTTGTGTATTCTTTTTTGGATATTTTTTGTGCAATTGTTGGACAAAATGACTTACTGTGGCATTAATTGCACTAATAGAGCGTCCAAGGAGTCTCCACTTCATTTTTTTTGGTGAGTAAAATTATATTTATGTATTTTAGGTCACTGCCGAGCTGAGCTTAGATTTTAACATGCACTGTTTAACCATGAAATTTAAATGTAATAGGGTAAAACCCAGTGCATTTAACATAATGTTGCACTTTAGAAAATGGGTTGAAATATAACATGTTGGTGGAGCTGGGTTACGACTATCGGCTTGTGGAGCTCTCGGGAGACCGATGTTTTCCACCCGTTTCTCCCCAGCGGTCAGCCCGCCGTATCTCTGATTCAGAAGCTCTGGTGTTGTGCACAGTTAACTCCGGTTGTAGCTAGGTTGCTACCTCCGTTAGCTTAGCTCCCACCTCCGCGTTAGCTTTGGGTTAGCTTCAGGTTAGCTTGTAGCTAGTTCGACCGGGTGTCGTCAGTCGATCCCAGCCTTACAGCCCCACCCTCAGCTCCACCTCTCTTCCCTTTTGTGGAATTGTCTGGGCTTGACGGAACCTGTGACACGGTCAAAATGGCGGTGGTAGCCACCTCCCATTTTTCTTCAAAAACGTGTTATTGGAGTTTATGGAAACCTATTGTCCATATATGTATATGTCGATGGTTGGCCCTCAGCTTCCTGGCGTTTGTGTTACCGGTCACATGGTTAAAGCGGGCCAGAACACCTTCAGTTGCTGTTTTCACCTGAATTTATAAACACTGTTTATGAACATGGTAGCTCTTTCGTTATCACCAGCTGGCGTTTATTAATCCTGGCAGTGCGAAACGCCTGTCCACAGCTATGTTTGACAAACTCTGATCCAAGATTAATAAAGGACGTTCATCTGCGACAACTGTTGTTTAAACAGCCTTCATAAATAATGCATCTATTGGCAAGAATAAGAAGACAAACTGATCTGTGGAGATAAACATTCTCCCTGCTCTGCGATCCTCAACAGAAACTCACGTGAACCTGTTCGGATGGTTTGTGGTCTGAAGGTCAGGGCTGAACAGATGCTCAAAATCAACCGGCGCTTGGTGTCAGTAAAGATTTAGACCCAAACTCTTGATCAGGACATCCCCGTCGACTGCCATGATGTCAAGTTATCCACCGAGAGGCACATAGACTCATGCTTTAAAACGTTTTTAAAATGATAAACGCTTTAAGAAGGCTCACAAACATTTTCATTTGATGTCAAACTATCAGGGGACATGACACTCATGATGCTAACAACCTGTGCTAGAGAATATTAAAATTGCGTGGCAAAAAAATCTGAAATTACACAGAATAAAACCACTATATTTGGCTACAGATTAGCAGATTTTTAAGTAATATTTTGTGACTGTACATCCTAATCCCAGCCATCAGTATGCAGAATTCATTTTTCAAAATAAAAGACGGTGTTCTAAATAGGCTTGTGTGCATTATACAAGTTGTGTTTTTGCTACCAGCTGAGAGTCATAGTTCAGGTTTCTAACCCTCTGGAGGCCGGCGTTGCAGATTTGCAACGTTAAAACCTACCTGGTTACTCCACGTGCGTATTTCATGAGCATTTTTAAACTCAGAAGTACCCCTGAAGGACTTAGTTGTTCGTCCTTTTATCAAAACTTCTTTAGAGCCTGAGAGAGTTAATCCAGGTGTGGCCTTGAAGAGACCGAAACCAAAACAGAAACTTTCAGACTCCAGTAGAAAAGTAATAAAGCCCAACTGTTTACAGCAGGAGTAGAAATAATAAAAAACCTTCACAAACAACACTTAGAATGTGGCAATTAAAGGTTGTTAGATACACGTGTGTGTGTGTGTGTGTGTGTGTGTGTGTGTGTGTGTGTGTGTGTGTGTGTGTGTGCGTGCGTTCGTGTGTGTGTGTGTGTGTGTGTGTGTGTGTGTGTTTTATACTAGCACTTTTATTTTTTTAAGTTTATTTATTTTTGGGGACTGGATTTGACGTGACTGTAAATTCAATTAGTTTCATCATAACTGTTGTTACAGAAAGAGGTCCACCTGAATGCCAAACTGTTTTTATAGGTTAATGTTTAAGTTTGGTGTGAGGTTCAGCTGCTTGTGAAATAAAATGTCAGATTATTAACACGCTTGCAGTGACTATTCTTTTGCCATAAAGGCTGTTTCTCCTAAAACCACAACAAGGCTTTATTATTTTAGAGATTAACTGATTTTACTCAGTAAACATGAAGGAAAGTGTGTTTCACTTCACATAAACTTTTCCATCAACAGTAAATTGATCTCATTTCGACTGCAGCTTCGTAACTGACCTGTTTCTAACTATGTGGCTGAAATGGCGCCCCCATGTGGTAACAACATCTAAGACTAATGTCGGCTGACTTCTGTTGGTATAAAAAAAACTGTATTTACTGATCAAATGGTGTTACTGGGAAGAAAGCTGCAGCAGACTGGGAAAGGATTAAAAATTTCTCTAAATTTACAAAATAATAACAATGATAATAATAATAATAATAATAATAATAATAATAATAATAATAATAATAATAATAATAATAAATAAAAAGCAGGGAAAGAAGAGGGAAGAGGGAGATTTTCTTTAAAATATTTCCACTCAACATCTCAACATTTCCGCTTTTATTCTGAAACTACATTTTTACTTTCATCTCAGCACTTCCTTCTTTTTTTCTTTTCAGTTGGCTTTGCATATTTTCCATAATTCTAAAATGTTCCTGATTTGAAGAAAATCCGGGGTTTCCCATTCTACAGCTCAGACAGATGGGCTCGGTTCCTGATGAAGTTCTGCTTAATACTATGCAATCCTATGACAGACATGAATATGCAGACGCTGGAGGGCGTAACAACATTGCCGCCATATTGGATGGGTCCCTTGATCTCCAAACCCAACTGGAGCCACCACAGGATGAGGAACTATGCTGTTTTGTTGTGCAGTCATATGGTTGCAACAACCGGGTCAATATTAAAAATAGACTTCTCTAGCATACCTGTTGGGATTTAATTTTAATTTAGGCCTGTATTTTAGACCTAAGAACAATCGCGTGCAACAAGAAAGTGGAGACTTTCGAGCAAACGTCATTTAAGTCTGACATTCACGCCATTCACAATATGGCGAAAACGCTGACGTATCATAACCATCGACATACATACGATCACAACCTGTGTCTGCAAATTAGGTTGCCACAGAAGTCAAACCGGAAGTCAACGTTACCGAGAGAAAAAAAGATTTCGACGAGGATGGGATTCGAACCCACGCGTGCAGAGCACAATGGATTAGCAGTCCATCGCCTTAACCACTCGGCCACCTCGTCCTATGACGTAAAACTGTGCCTGACTTTTATAACTCTATCAATTCCAATGGTTACGATAGCGAAACAATCAGTACCATGTCTATGGACTGTTAGTTTTTTAGGGTTTGTTTTCATTTTGTGAGGAATCGTTCTGTCGGACGTAGGCTCTCACATGACCATCAGGACTGAGGTGCACAGACCGTTGGATTACGTGCGACTAGCTAAAAGTATCAAATCTCATGTTGATTAGATGGAAGCACGTTAAACTCACCATTAAACGGCGGAGACCAGATTCACGCCTGCTGTAGATTCGGGTATCGTTGAGACAGCGCCCTCTAGCGGATGAGATACGAAACGAGGCGCGGACGTGTTGTACGTGTATATGTCGATGGTTGTACCACTTTTATGCATCAGATGGGGACACAGGCAAACAAACTAGAACCGTTTTGTTCCGCTTGGCAATCTTGATCTGCTGATTTTGTATTAGGCTATTTCTTCTATATTATTATTTATCAATATTATTTTAGGGTTTAGGGAAATGAGCACCTGCTAGTGGTGGTCGGAGGGACCAGTGGCGCCTGTGCTGTCCAGGCGCCTTCCTCAGTGCGCCCCAGGGCAGCTGTGGCTGCAGTGTAGCTCATCACCATCAGAGTGAACAAGAATGAAAAGTGTGGGTCCTTTATCATGAATCCAAGTGTCTTTGTTTTTTCAAAATGCAACAAATTGTACCACAGTAGCCTACAATGAAGCCATGCTGATTTGAAGTAATGCAGTTTATTGTTACTGCATTAAAAGTTGAAGTTCTTTCTCTAGTCCATTCTAGTCTTACCTGCATTTTCTGGACATTTCCACATCTCAAATATTTCATTAGAATAAATTTTGCATCAATCATTGTTATACTTTAATCTGGCCATCAGGCGCTATATTCGTTTTTTCTTCAAGTGTATTGTTTTGTGTGTGAAGAGGGAGAATGACGAGACAAAACTCAGACAGAGGGGATCGAACATTTATTTACCCTTATTAAAAGTTACAATAAAACCATTAACATCTTCAAACGATAGCAAAATAAAGAGAACCAAAAATAATCGGCCAAAACATATTTACAGTGACAGTTTGCAGATAAAAAGCTCACATTTTTGTACACAACCCCGACCCCTGCGTCATAAAACTCTGAAATGTGAACACTGCAATACTCGAGAAGCTTGAATGTGTTTTTAGCCAGAAAAAGGAATCAAAATGCACGAACAAAGAGACAAAGCTCCTTTCCAACCTCCCCTATTCGATTTTCTCTTTTCTATACATGACAAAATACTTGAAATTTGGGAATAAAGCATAGGAATGTAAAATCTAAAAAGTAATAAGATCATTTGATAGATTGATGTGTCCGTATAACAGTCATTTTGAGTGAAAGGTGGTCTTGCCCTGCTCAGTGAAATTTTCTTAGATCCCAAAAAGATGAAAAAATAACATGTTATAGGGCCGCCACGCTGTTAAAAAAGGATGCTTTTCCGTGATTTGGGAAAATAAGTCAGTATTCCTGATTCGCTCCACATCCAATCCATTACCTTCGCCACACGCCAGTCCCTGTGTGTACCATGAGGGGGAGGGGCGACGCCAGCCGACATCATGAGAGGGCCCGGTGAGAATCCGTCTGTCAGAGAACTAATAAAAGGCAGTGAACTGGTGGTTGAATCAGCAAACGTGATATATCCTTTTGTCGTCTTCTTTTTGTCGTTTTGTTTATAACTTTGAGAATGTGGCACATGTCTCTCATATATATATTTATATACTTTCATTTTGGAAAAATCAGTTCAGGTACTGTGGCTGGAGGCAGTCACTCTGCCACGGCCTCGCCCTCAGAGGCTGCAGGTGTTGTGTCCTCGGCGGGGGCGGCAGCCTCCTCGGCGGGGGCCGCCTCTGTTGGTGGAGCCTCCTCTGCTGCCTTGGCCTCTTCCTCAGGTGCAGGCGCAGCAGTGGCGGCGGCTTCCTCTCCCTCTTTGGCCTCCGTGGCCGGCGTCTCCTCTTTGGTTTCTTTGGCCGTGTGGCCGTTCTCCTCTGGCTTGTCCTCGGTCGTGGGGGAGGTGGTCTCCTCCTTGCCTTCCTCGCTGCTCTTCTTGTTCTTCTTCAGTGAGATGCCTTTGAACTTAAATGAGTTCTTCAGGGAAAACTTCTTCTTCTTCTTGCCGTCCTTCGCAGCCTCCCCCTCTGCTTTGGTGGGCTCACCCTCAGCAGCAGGAGCGGGCTCAATGGCATCTCCACCGCTGGCCTCGCCTTCTTTGGCTGGCTCTGCAGTTCCATTTCCGTCGGCTGCGGCCACTTCCCCGTCAGGCTTGGCTGTAACATCGCCATTGGTTTTCACGTGGCCATTTTCCTGCAGGAAAAGGTTCCTCATTAGTCATGGTCTCAAATCACCAAAGTAGAATATCACCATCTAGATCCTCAAAAATCATCACATTCACGCATGCCACGCATGGATTACAGGATCAAACAGCTGTTTCTGTCTGTCGTTACTCTGATCGGACGCGAGGGGGCAGCAAAGATTTGCGAAGAGCCCCACCACGGTCAGTTAAATTGGGAAACAAAGGAATCCCCGTTAAACCAGGTTCTAGCCTTCACCCGTGGAGCCGCAACTCGCATCTTGTGTGATTTCTGTGGACAGGGCTCTGTCACTCCACATCACGTATCAAATACTTCATTAATGGGGTTTTCAATTCACATCACCATACAGGAAGCGATCCTGCTCACAAAGCGCCCCCCAAAAATACTAAATAATCCTAATCCGGTCTCTAAACGACCTAATCCTGCCATCATACCGCAGACAAAATACAGCTGCTTTCCAATAACTCGCTTTACTAAAACAACAGCTTGTTTTTGAGTCTGCTGGTTCGGGGGAACTGGGGTCTAAAGTGGCGCCTCTCGCCGCGCTTTGTCTGCAAGTCCGCAAAATGCGCCTCGAGCAGAGCGCATTTGCATCCTTTGCGCCGCTCGCCTCGCATCCTTTGTTCGACGCAAGAGCCACAGCCAACCCGAGCGCCTCAAACACAGAGTTAGACTAGAATATGAGCACTTTGTGAAATATCTGCGGGTGATTCGTCCCTCTGGGAGCAGCAGACGGGTTTACATGGAACAAAGACACCAGGGTGGTGCGCGCTGATCGGGGTTGCGGTGGGACGCTCGACAGCACCAACCCATTCAACAGTTTAGAATCGGTTTGGTTGTTTTGTTGCGATCAGAGGGTGGAGGTTTGGCCAGCAGAAGCGGCTCTGAGCCCGGCTGGGCACCACGCTGCCAGTGGGCGTTGGGTGCCATGTGGCTTCCCCGCTTGTGCGCCCCTCTCCAGATCCGGCCTCCATCACTCACCTGGCCGTTGGCTTTGGCAGCAGCTGGGTCGGCGGTGGCTTTCCCGTCAACAGCTACTCCACCCTTGGACAACTGGGCTCCCATCGTATTGTTTTTTTTCCTTCAGGTGCTCTGAACAAAAAAGAAAAGTGAAAAAGAAAAACCCCGAGGAGTTTGGGAGGTTTAAAAATCCAGCTCTGGGAATTGCGTATGGTCTCTTTCCAAGGAGGTGAAAAATCCCAACTGACCTCCTTCCTTTCTAAGATGTGGAAACAAGCAGACCTCCTTCTCTGTGAGTGTGAACCCCACGGCGGCCGAGCGCAAATTAAAGGGTGGCAGACAGACTGCCGTGAGTATCTCAACCGCGCCTCAAAATCGACCTGAGTCTCCGCCCCCTGGGCGGGGCATCCGCGCTCCGTCCAATCCACAGCAGGCGGGGGGAGGGGCCTCGTTCAGCCGCTGTCGCTGCAACAAGCAGCTCATACGGACTTTTTCCACATTTCAAACTTTACTTAGCTGCGAATCTAATGTTAAAGAAAGTCCAGAAAGAAAAAGATTTCATGGATCAACCAAGAAGAGCTCAGACCAGTGCAAAAGCAAGGAGGGAACGCGGAAAAAGCGTTTAAATGTATTTATTCTTTTTATATTTTAACAAAGAAAACAAAACTGAAACTATTTTAGGGGGAGCTTTAACCCCCCTTTACCAATACAACAACAAAAATACTATAAAAGTTCTTTTCTGGTCTGCTTTGCTTTAAGCCCTGAATCACACATTTGACTTCAATTTAAACAATAAATAATTATGTGTGTTTTCAAAATGTCTTTCATGTAATCTGAGATTTATTTACTTTCAGTTCAATTCAAGTTTATTTATAAAGCGCCAAATCACAACAAGAGTCGTCTCAAGGCACTTCACACAGTAAACATTCCAATACTATTCATTCATTAAGCCAATCAGAAAAAAGTTTCCTATATAAGGAACCCAGCAGGTGAGTAGTGTCAGAGTCTTTACCACTGCTTGTAAAAATAGGAACAAAAATGACAAATAAGACATTGCATATAAGATGTCACAACAGAATCTCTTCTCCTCCAGCATGGCTGCTCTCCACATAACCAGATTTATAGTGGATTTCTCCACGTTTAATGCTTCTTCGTTCTGGAAGATGGATGTGAAGCTAGCTAAACTCACAGCCATTTTTCTTTTCCTTCTTCTTTCCGTGTCTTGTTTGGTGACATAAATGTTGTGGGACGAGCAGTTGTAGCCCTCTGCGTGTTTTCCTTTTCGCACAAAACTTAAAGGGACAATGTGTCATTTTTATCATTCATTTCTGGAAATATCCATTAAAATGTTATTAAATTTTATTAAATGATTCCCAGTTTTTGAAAAATATTGGCGGCTTCCAAACATATAACCATAAAAATCAGGTCTGAAATAAACGGGAGCAGGTCTAAGTCTCCAGGCGACGCTATGTTAGATGCCATGTTTCCTTCTACGGGAGCCCTTGCAGACAAAATACATTTACAATTTGTAACAAACGGTTACAAAATGTTCACCATGCAAAAATGTTGTTGTTTTACACATTTACGTCTTTACTCATTGCTTCTCTTTTTACTGAAGTTTGCACTACACAGGGCTCTTTTACCCTAGCGGGGATCCGTTGGTAAGGTCTTACTCCAACACAAAAATATAGCTGGTTTGCAACAATTTAGGTATCTACTGCCCCCATTGCCAGGAAAAATACACACTGTCACTTTAAAGTAACTTTTGCCACCTGTTGAAAGTAAGCGCTTTCCTGGCATCAAAATGCGTCACATGTGAAATCCATGGCACATGTCAAATGGGATTAGAAAACAACTTTTATCGCTCCATAAATCTCATTCATATTTTTGACATTAGGGGACCCAAGGATAGGAAATAGATGGGTGTGACTTTGGCTTCCCATTAAATACATTGTGCAGCCTTTTGGTTTCTTCCACAGAACTTAAAAACTTCCAATCATAAGGGCATGGATAACAGACTTCAGATAAGGTCTCTTGATTATGGACTTTGAGTATTGCGACACAGTTGAAAAACTTGACTGCAGCCTTAATTTGCAAGACCATGGAAAAATCAGAGTCTAGTTTCACTCCCAAACTAGTCACGCCGGGTTTCATGTTTAGGTAGGGGAAAGAGGTGTCAGCAGGTGAATGATTCAGATTTTTTAGGTAAAAAAGAATAGCAAGAGTTTTGTTGTCGTTGAGGCATAGGAAGTTAGCTGAAAGCTGCTTTTTGATTTCAGAGAGGCAGTCAACCAGTAGGCGAGAAGAGTCTGGTTTATTTAAAGCCAAATAAATCGGACAGTCATCTGCATAGAGGTGGTAACTCAGCCCAAGTTTTGCAAAAATGCTTCTCAGCGATAGCAAGTAGAATGAGAAGAGGAGTGGCCCCAGGATTGAATCTTGAGGTGCACCCCAGGGAAGCAGCACAGATGGAGAGTAGTGATGTGTCAGTCGCGAACTGAGGTGAACAGCGGGAGCCGGCTCGTCATTGGGAGCCGTCCTGCCCATAATTCTTGACTAGAGGAGGTAGGGCTTTCTCAGTTTTGTCCCCCAAGCTGTGGAATGATCTTCCACTCATGGTCAGACAAAGCATCCTCACTGCCGGTTTTTAAGAGTCGAATAAAAACTCACTTTGAACAGTGGCGTTCCCTCAGCACACGAGTCAGCTACATTTTTAGATAATTTATACAACTTAGCTCATTTTTATCCTGTAGTATTCTAATCATTTTATCTTGTTTTTTAGGGACATTCTTTACTTTTGTTTCATGTTTTTGTTTGTTTTTAGGTATATTTTGTTGATTAAAATTTTTTTGTACTTGTGCAGCACTTTGGTTCGCCTCTTGGATGATGGAAAGTGCAAAGGAAATAAAGATGATGATGATAATTCAAGCCTCCTAAGTAGGATGCTAAGGCAGCTGAAAGGTCTAACAGGACATGAGAACCAGTATCAGTTGCCACCAACATATTGTTAAGCACACGAGCGTGGGCAGATTCTGTACCGGTATCGCCTCAAACCAGATTAGAAATGGTCAAGGAGGCAGCAGTGATCAGGCTCAGAGTGTGTCACATCTAAAAGGGTCCAGATGGAAACAGAGCTCTGCTATGAATCTTTACATCAGACGGAAAACGACGACTCAACCGTTTCTGCTTTAGCGGGTTGTGAAAACATTCCAGTCCTTCATGATTTTTTATCTAAATTCAGCCATTTTACTAGATGACATCGTTTGCAATAATAATAATAGTCAGAAAGGGGTTAAATTCCTTGGATTGGAAATATTTCTACTTTCTTTCTTGACATTCCAACTTTAATTTTGACACCTTCAAATTCCAATAATTAGCTTTTCACAGCAATTTCGTTTAAAAATACCAGAACATTTCCAATTTTCACTGAAGAAACCCTGTGATCCTGTATTATGTGAAATATGCTATAGGGAGTGTACACTTAAGTGTTTTACCATGTTGTCGCATACCTGAACGCAGATGTTTGGTCATATTGGTCACACCAGGAGACGCAAACATAGTTGCTGATGTCCTCATCACAAGAAACAAAGACGACCCCTTCTGTTGAGACGTTAGCCGCCCTAATTGATCTTGTTGTGATAAATATTTTTCTTCGTGGGTGCGAAACATTTGCATGGACATGGTACAAAGACCTTATAGTTGACCATATCTGAATAGGAGCGCTTAAGGAAGCTTATCCATTCAGTAACTTGGCTCTTTGCTCTCTTTGTACATTTTGATAGGTAAGATTCACTTACATGATCTTGTTTTTGTCAAAAAAAAAGTGAAACTATTGCAGTTTGACCAAACGCCACCATGATTCTCACTGGCTACTGATGTGGGACTTTCACACTGACACTAGTGAAAGCACTCTATTCAGACTGATGGAGCCTCTTGGCAGCTCGACCGCTTTGACGAAACAAACACGGACATTTTTGAACACCCAGACCCAGTGATGTTTCCCAGGAGAGTTCTGCCTTACATCATGGGTCAATCCGTGATTGATCCAATCAGAACCTTGGCATGACCGTCGAGGTCCAGCAGCAGCACTAAAAAGCTGGGCGACCAGAGGAAGAGACCAGGACCAACTGAACTGATACCATCACTTTATTTCCTTGTCTTGGAGCGAAACCTACTTAGCTCCATTTCTTTGCAACGCATCCATTTGACAGCACACACACGTCTCCCACCACACAAACACACTCAAGCTAACATGTCACGGCCATGGTATGTGAGGCATGCTAACGCCACCCAGAGAATGATCTCCAGCCATCCAGTGGGCTGAGCCTGCTGTAGTAGAGAGCCCAGAGGGCTTTACACCCCCTCCCTCACCACCACTAACCACTTCATACATTCTCCCAATATGAGTCAGTAACCTGCAATCTCAGCATCTAGTGAATGCACGTCTCAGTCAGGGTTTGACATTCCTGTGACACGAGTCGGCTCCTGGCTCTGGTGGGGTCTGCGCACGTTAAAGTGGGACGTCCACACGGCCCGTGCCGTTTGGAGATTTTAGTCTCGGCTGGGAGATTAAACTTTAGGCCAGGGGTCCTCAATTATAATGGTCCGAGGGCCACACACAAAAAAGCAACCCAGAAGCAAGAGGGCCGGGGGATGGGGGGTGGGGGTGGTGGTGCTGCTGTTTGGATTGCTGGCTGTAATACACATGACACACAAGCTTGCAATACAAAGCAGGACAACACCTGCCCCCCTCCAGCTCGGCTGTGTGACTGCACTAACCTGTCCTGTGGGACCCTCACCATGTAACCCTCATGTCCATGCTGTCTCTGGAGGAGCAGAGAAGAGACAAGATCTCCTGTAACTTAAAATGGACCAAAGCTTCCTCCCAGTTTCTCTTTAAGCTGAATTTAACATCAGTTTATCTTCATGAAACAAAAGACTAAAGTGGAACAAGAAATTCTATCTTCTATTTTTCTCTCCTTTTAACTTCTCCGTGTCCCTAAATAAAAGAGACAGATGATTACGCTGCTGCCGCCGTCCCTCACCCCGCTCCCTCCCCAAGACCGGACCTCCCGACATCACAGCACTCGGTCTGACTGAGCGCTTCCAGGAGAAACAATAATTAAATTATGAAAATAATAACGCGTGTTTGGAGGAACATCCTCCGATCCTCTCTCTTGTGTGAGCAGACAATCTCCCTCCCTCTCTCTCAGTCGCTGATCGACAACCCGCTCAGTTAACATAATTCACGGGCCAAATCCAACAGAACTGGTCGGGCTGACTCGATTCGGGTTCGGTCTCAGGTTACAACTCCAGCGCTCAGCCCTGCAGTACCACATAAAGGCAGATCAAAGTTTCCTACCCGGTAAATGTGGAGAACACCGCTCTGACAGATGTGGATGCTGCGCTGGTGCCGCCGTTAAAATAACAAAACTACATTCCACCATAGCTGATTATGGTTCTCTTCTATGATGCAAAACCGTCTATGCCCGCATCTCATGCATTGATTATTTGATTATTTTCCTCAGCTCTATCCTAAACCTCCCGGTCGGCCGTCGGGGGTAGGGGTGGGGGTGCGTGCGGGGTTTGGGGGCCACAAAGAGAGGGCTCGCGGGCCACGTCTGGCCCGCGGGCCGCCATTTGCGGACCACTGCTTTGGGTTATGGTTAACATGCAAAGCATTCCATAGGTTTCTTGTTATCCAAATGATCACGTTCAGTTAAGAAAGCATTGCATCCTTTCAGTTCAGCCAGCTGTCTGCTTTGGCTCAAAAACACAAAGAACGCTTTTAATTTGCTTTGGAAATTTTCATTGAAAGAGAAAATTAAACCGACACAAACATGAGGTCAGGGACAAAAAGTCATTTATACAAACCAAAGAAAATCACTAAATAAAGACAATTAAATGACACTTATTTATTTTTGCAAGATTTCTTTGATGAATGATTTATTTAGGAGCGGTCACGGCTCACGTTGAACGTAACACATCTTCTCCTCTTTGCTCTCTTTTTTTCATTTTCTCCCCTCTGAACCTCTCAAAGCCCCCATTTGTGCTGTTGCCCATTTTTCATGCCCTACACAGGATGAGCTCTCAAATCCACACTAAAAAGCCTCCATTGTCTCTTAAGTCTCAGTGAGCCAACTGATGAGCATCACAAGTAGGAAGAAGAGGGATCAAGCAGCGGAGAGGAGTGGAGTGGAGTGAGGCAATCAGGAACACGTCTTTGTGGTTCCTTTTGCGTCGGGGGAGGAGAAATGTTTGGGATAGTAACCTTGAGCAAAGTGCTAGCACTTCAGCGTGATAAATATGCTAATTTCCCAAGGATCCTCTGTTTGTGAGCAGGTCATGCATGTGCAGAAAAACAACAAGAGAGCAGGCTGTTTCCTGTCTGCGTTCCCATGATACCGCTTGCAAATGTGTTTCACGGCTGACTCCTTTATTCTCCTGACTTGAGTCGTACCAAATAAAATACGTTGTTTTATCGTATCTTCAGTTTAAACGCTGCAAAGCCTAAAAGCAGCGCTGATTTTGTGCTGAGGTGTAAATTTCACTTTACTCGTCTGCTCTAGTTTGGCCTAAACACAACATTTGCATTGCCAAGCACCTAATCACGAGGAGAGAAAGAAGGAGCGGAGCCCTCTTCACCGCCCTGACGGGTCCTGCCTCGACTTTAAAGAAAGCTTTTTGTGATGCTAATTGATTCGATCAACTGGCTTATTGACTACAAAAAGGCCCTCACCAGCAGGAGACCACAGAGCTGCACACGGCAGCCATCTTGGCCCTGGGAGGGCACTTGTGCAGACTGCCAGGCTCTAGAGGAGCAGGGAGGAGGAGGGATGCTAAGAGGGATGCGTAGCACTCGAGAAGGGTTGCGAGTTTTGACTCGTCTCGCTGACGGATCAGTCGCTCGCGTCTCCGGGAGCTCGGAAACACGGCCTCCCAAAAAACGGGACGCAAACAACAATCATCTCTCCTCAGGTGGCAGACGTGTCGCGACTCACACACCGTCCGACATGTCTTCCAGTGTGCAGTCACGCTACAGAGCCGGTTGCCATGGCAACAGCTGCTTCTCTTCGACTTGTCTCTGGTTGGGGTTCTGAAGGAACAGAGAGGAAAGATGCTCGACTCCTTTTGCTCTACAACTCAAGTACACTCCTGCTGCCATCAGTACTTCTCCTCATCACAGATAACTCGCCCCTCCTTCCCATCGTGTCTCTTTCTGCTCGCCGGAGCGTGCTGCCCAGGTAGGGAGAGAGATGCAGCGAGGCTCGATGTGTTACTCAGACTGGGGCGTGCAGTCGTAGGCCAGCTCATCCCCACTGGCAACAGCAAAGCAGCGTTACTGGGTCAGTGTGCCATCATCTCACTCATCACCACCAGCCTGCTCCTCCTCTTCCTCATCTTCCTTCACACACTTTAAAAAAGCAGCTTTGCATCAAAAGTGTTTGAATGAAACAGACGACTCCTCTCAGGTGTGAAGGATGAGGTATTTTTTATCTTTCATTTAGGCAGTTTTGGTTTTGCACATCTGATATAAAAATAATGTTTTTAATTAGTCTCTAGATTTGACTAGTGACCATCTGGTGGAATTCTTTGTTGTGTGTTGGGGTGACGTACAGATGAGTTAGGCCTAATTAGTCGATGGCTGCTCTGGAATAACTCATGGAGATCTAATCCCTGGACGATAGTCATACAACATTATTTATTTGAAAAGCATCCTTGCGACGGTGTTGGCTCCCAACGCCGAAGTTTGAAGCCGCCGTGCGTTTTTCAGTCATCACAAAGAGCTGCTTCGTGTCACCGTGAGCGAGCTCAAACTGCATGGTGGCGCAGTGGTTAGCACTGTTGCCTCGCAGCACGAAGGTTGCAGGTTCAAAACTCGGCTGCGGCCTTTCTGCGTGGAGTTGCGTGTTCTCCCCATGCATGCGTGGGTTTCCTCCGGGTACTCCGGTTTCCCCCACAGATCACAACATGCCCTGTAGGTTATAAATTGTAAGTCGCTTTAAATAAAATCGTCTGCTAAATAAATAAACATAAACACGCTAACGTCAAGAGCATATGGCACCAAAAGGCATTCGTCGCTGAAAGCCGACGGATTTCCAACAATGATGGGAGGAAAAAAGCGCTACACGTCTTTAATTAGACTGAAACAAACTTGGAGGAGGGGCGAGGCTTGTTATCACTAGTGCTTCACATCTCTGGGTGTGTTTTAATGGTCCACTGCAAACCGGGGTTGTGGATGTTCTGACGCTGCTTAAAGACCGTCTGTGGATGGACACACCGGACACCGGTTGGCTACACAGCTGCTAACAACACTATAAACGATGAAACTTGGTCTACGACTGCGACAAACACACAGTGTGAACGAGGTTAGGGTATGGGTTATGAACGAGTCTCTCCAAACACCTCACTTCGCTCGATGCCTGAGATCCACTGAGTTTCGCTCATGTTTATGTTTGCTAACATCGATTAGCTGTGGAGTTGCAGTTTCTCAGATTTTCTTTAAAATCTGCTTTTTGGCTCATGAGATGATTTTCCAAACACCAACAAGGCGCCGTAATGAAGACAGGAGAGCGTTCCTGGCATTTCGTGTTGGCCTGACTTAATGACTTTAAAGGAATAATTCATCTGTTACCAGTTTGTTATTACCTGCAACAGTAGCTGCCTCTACCCCATCAACCAGACCCCTTCTGTCCCTTTCTGAGTAATCTAACGCTGTAATTAATGCTCCATGTCAGGACCGCTCCAGTCGCTGCTTTCTGGTTGCCTATTTCACACAGTATTTCTAATGAAGTTGCAGAAAATGTAAAATTTTTCTGACAAATGCTCAAGAGCCATTCCTCCGTTTCAGGTGACTCCCTGGCATTCCTGCATCTGATGAAAAATGCAGGAAGGCGGACGTCGACGTGAACTGAATGGAGTTTGCTTCACACAAAGACTTTTAAACGACAACAACCTCTTGCGTGGAACCACATGCAAATGTGCTTAGCTGTGGTTTTTTTGTCCAATCTGTGAGATCATCACTCTCTCTAAGCCCCCTTCAGTGTTGTCCTCTCCACCAGCTCCTCGAATCCCCCAGCCAACCCCCCCCCCCCCCCCCCCCGGTTTTCATTGTGATGCAGATTTGGGGGCTGGGTGGGGGATGGGAGCAGTGGGGGAGGGGGAGGGGGAGTGGATGGGTGTTAAGAGTGACCTGACTGGCCCGCTGTGTCCCAGCAGGCAGTCTGGCATAGGCGAGTGGGGGAGGGGAGTCCAAGCCACAAGAGAATGCTTGAGGGCTGGTCGCCCCCCCCCCCTGCTCGTCTGCATGACTCAGACATCAGATACTCATCATGCCAGTCTCTTTTTGACACAAACTACAACAGACACGCCCCTCAGATGCTCATGGCGATCTCGCTCCAGAGAAAACTAAGATGTTGGATGGTGTTTTGCTCTGTCTAGACATAATGAGCTTAATGCCATCCAGGTCATGTTGCTGTTCCCTCTCTTTGGACCAATAGCACCTAACTGGCAAACGCCGGTCCATATCAGTCCCCGTTAGCAGCAGGAGCACCTGTTCGGATCTGTCTGAATTCTCACCGTGCACTCAGTGTGTGCAGCTGTTTCTGCAGCTTAAAGGCTCTGTGATCCTGCGTCTCCCAGTGCAAAAGGAAACAAGTCAAACCTTCACTATACGCGCCTTTTTAACTATGCACCCTACGCCTCCTCCCACGCACGCTCACGTGCACGGATGCACACCAGAACACAGGGCAGTGATGGTGCAGAGCAGAGAAAGACCTGCAGCGAAAATAATAGAAGTCTGGAGTCGATAGCATTGTGTTTTAATGAGCCCCGCGTAGGCTGGATTCACCGACTTTGCACCTCTGCTTTAGTGAAAAAAGACAACCAGGGCTGTCGTCGTCTTCTGTTAGTATTTGCGTTATGCTCCTTACACTCAAACACAAAGCTGCACAAATTAGCAGAGACAGAGGTCTGTAATTATTACACTAATGAACCGACAACGTAGCATCACAAGAGCGCGGTAGTGGTTTAAACGCCAAGCCTTCTTCTTGGAGTTTTGTGCAGCTTGCACTGCTTGGACCAGGTTTGTTGTGATTGCCATTTGCTCCACTTTTCCCTTTTATCCATCTGCCATTGCAGCTGGGATGTGATCATGGAGCCTCGCTGTAGTTTGACCTATTTATAACCCGCCCCCTTTATCTCTTGCCCCCAATTCCCTCTCTTGTCCTTCTTTAGTTTATCAAAACACGGTTACATAAAATCCGCTGAATATTTCAGGGCACGACATTACGTGTTGCTTCTGTATTATTTAAACTCCAGACTTCAGTGATATTTTTTAGCTCAGAAGCGACACAAATTTATTTACAAGGCCAAAAAGCTCCATGGTTGCTGTTTGAGTTTGTGCATTTTCACCTGTGCTACAATAGTAAGTAGATTAAAATTAAAGCTGATCTCCAGGGAAATTTCCCACAATGCATCGCTCTTGTTTAGTAGAGAAAGTATTCTCCAATCGAGACACAATCCTCATTTTTTAGGAAATGTGCAAATCTTCTTAAAATTAGTGTGAAAATTACATTTGATTTATCAAAAGCAAGCCGTTATCATGAAGACTGAGGCTTTTATTTAGAAAAGAGAAATTTGTTAAAGTGCTGGAATGATTCTGGCCACCGAACAATATGCTACGTTTTCATTTAGAGAGCATCTGCATGGGTAAGAGACGTTTCCGAAGCATTCCCAAAGGAAAAACGGTCTGTTTTTACCAGCAGGTAAATAGGGCTTGGGATCCCGCCGTGACTATGACATGTTGATAGCCTTACTAGTGTAAACAAACCGTGAAAACAAGCAGTATGTTGCAGACAAGACGCAGATTTGGGACAAAGGAAATGTTAAACAACAAGTTAAAATCCCCCAAAGGATGTGGAAGACAGACGGATCTGTTAGATAAAAACGTTGGGGACCGGTGTGTGGACAAAATCAGCATTATAAATGGTTTAGATCCATCTAGTGGAGTGGAGCGCCGACGACAACTTGTTGCCACTGCAGTTCTGCATAACGGACTTTTTCGGCCATCTTGTTTGGTGTGAGCAGACGTAAACATCCGAATGAGAGGCAAACATTTCATTTGCTGGTGTTTCTAGCACAACAATCAAAATAGTCATCCCACAGAAGAGTAGCAGGAGAAGTTGTGTGTCAGTGCGCCCGCATTAGCCGACTGGTGAGTGCATGTCGCGGTTGAAGGAGAGAAAACGTACACCGTCTGTAACTTAACAGGATGAAAATACTCTGGAAGGTGATGTTTGGTCGCCTCACAGCTGTGATCTGGGCAACCCGACGAGACTTTGCTAAGCTGGATGCTTGGTTTCCGTGGTTATGCCTCCAAGCAGGAAAACTGTGAAAAGTTAGCCTGTTTTCCACCTTTTCCTGGCGACCACGTGTCACTCCACAACGCAGCAATGATTTAGCGTAGTTGTGTAATATAACCCATCAAATGAATAATAGATGCAAGAATGATCCTGAGCGCGCTGTTTTGAGTGGAAACAAGAAACAAGTAAGGACTCGTTGGCTGCCAACATGGCGGCCGCGTCAGTGATGACAACAGATCCTAAAAAACCCCGGTTTCACACTGCAAGCATCAGCGGAACGGAACTTGCAACTTCAAAGCGGTCCTTTTCACACCGGGGGAGTCTTGCCCGCGTCACAGCTTCCTCGCTGCGCCTCGCTGTACTCGCGAGATTCTAAAACCCCTCGAGACTTCCAACACCTTCCTCATTGAGAAATCACAACCCCCGCGAGGAATCACACCGTTGCACTTCTCGAAAGAAACTGGTGGTAAACAAAGCCGTTCGGTCACAAGTGCTGACGTAAGTTACATATAACATTGCAACGTTGCATTTTATTTTGAAAAAAACCGGGGATTTTTCACTGAAACCGCATGGTTTCCTGTCTCGCACTATGTGAACTGCGGAAATCGACGTGTCCCAGAAGCTGCTCGCGGAAAAAATAGAACTCGATCCCATCTTTAGCGGCGCGGCATGCTGCTTCTGGGACGCACCTGAAAATTGCCGCGTTGCGGCTGGTTTGAAACACTCCATAGACTATAATTGGATTCTATTTGAAGCGGTGCCGCTTCACTGCCGTTCCGTTCCGCTGATGCTTGCAGTGTGAAACCGGGGTCAAGCCTTATTTACACTTCTCACACGCATCGACGGAGACAATTTCCTTCAGACTTCTGTGATGCCTGAGGTCGTTGCTACACAACTGGACCAGAAGTAGATGGGCGTGGCTTGGGCCCCCTATTAGGTGGTTCTATTCATTCCCAGTTTGTGATGTCACAACGAGGAGTTTTGGAAGCATCTTGTTTCAGGCATAACCAAACCGGATGGATGGTTTTTTATGTTTATCGGGGCAGCAGAGACCCACATGGCAGCAAAGGGCGACTTTTCCATTACATTTCCTGTAAAGCTGATGCTACCACACTAGCACCGTACCTTTAAGATTTCATCCTACTAGAAAACATTTTCATCACCTGCAGTCGTCCTTTCTAGCCTTACCTTTGGTATCTGTACCTGCCCCACCTCTACTGCCATCAAAACAAATCCAGCAGGTTTCTAACTGCAGATGTTCGAAGGTTCTTCCTCACTTGTAAGTCACTTTGGCGTCTGCTAAACGATTAAATCTGCTGTGATTAATCCAGACTTCACTGACTTTCGTCCCAACTGGCCTGCTGAGACAGCCCCTATCAATCTAACCTATGGCTTGTCCAACCAGCACGGACGAGGCTGCATTAACCTCCAGCTCGCCTGGATCTAGTTAGGCCATAATAGTCTGGCCACAGCCTGACAGCCACTGCGAGTGAATGATTAGGGATTGATTGGTAGAAACGGGGGATAGGGATGGAGGTGAAAGTAGGGGAGCTGAGTCAGGACTGGGGAAGAGATTTACCGTTTCTGCTCAGGTTTTCGTCTCAAACGTTCTTTCCCTGCCAAAGAACGAGATGACGAGCGATCGAAAAAGGCGTTAAAACAAAGCAGGTTGTATTTATCTCATAGTGACAGTCGCAATATGGAAGGCACCTGCTCCAGCAGCAGCAGAGGGAATAAAGAGACGTTTATCGGGTGCAAAGAGAGACCAGCTCTTTGTGTGCCGTCCCCTCGGGGCTCGCTAACAAGGTTATTAAGGGTCAGGATCTTCTGGAACCAGACACCAGGAGAAAAACTGTAAAAACCTAAAGAATGGAGAGATAATCCAATTAGACTTTTATTTTAGTGCACAGTCAAGATCAGATTCAGTGTTTGTTTCTTCTTTTTGTCCTTAAGACAGATGGAGATGGAAATCTGTCGCATAAAGTGCATTTGCTGCTCAGGTCAGCCAATTAGAAATGTTCCCGAGTGCAGAACAATAATTTCTACCAAAAGGAATCTGAAGCACTAGTTTGTTTTTGAGTGACGAGTGAATCCAAGGACGGCTCAGTGCCTCTGGGTGTGATCAGTTTCTTAGCGTTTTATCATTTATTTTTAATTAATCCTCTTCCTGTTTGTTTCTGTACTGACGCTGATCAGACTTAAAGCAAAGATCATTTTTACCTTTGTACTTTAATTCATTTTTGGCAAGGAGGGTTATAATATCATGAACATAATTGTGTTTATGAAATTAATGTTTAACCTTTAAATAAATCATTTTCATTTATTTTTATTTATTAGGTCTGTTTTCAGTAAAGCTTAGAATGTGTTTCAATGAAAGTTAGGAACTAAACCAAGTGGTTGACCTGTTGGTGAAGGGGTTGGTGGTACTTTTGATTTATCCAATCTATAAAGGCATCAAAGACACCAAAAGAAGAAAATTAAACAGCTTTAGCCTTTCTTGTAGTTTTGCACCCACTTGTTAGCCCGTTTTGAGATAATTTGCTCACTAGTATTAAATAATCCACATTTCTACTCTTGTGATGTTTTACTACTCTGACCGTCAGACATATTTGTGTTTTAACCAAATTAACCGAGGCAGACACAGGAAACTTGGGTTTTTGTGATTTGAGGTGAAAAACATGTAAAATGTAAACTAGAATAAATTAGCTTTTTTATTTTAATTAAAGTGTTTTTGATGCCTATGTATTTCTTTATGACTTGAAATTGAAAATCTCAGTTTTCCCGTATTTGGGCTGCGGCCGTCGGCTGGAGAAGGTTGAGCGCCGTGCGATGAGGTGCTGCTGTGTGACATCCTCACGCGCCTAACGTGTAAGCCGATCAGGCACCATTCAGCTCTACGTGGGAGATAATCTGCTTGGACCAAGTAATAATAGTTTAGATATATGGATGGAGGCCCATCATCTGATGAGGTTGACAGCTTTATGTTGATGTCAGCGTGGGATTTGTGCGTATAGATGTGCAACAAAAGCGCACGAGTTTAGAGGCAGGGCCATGACCAAATTGAAGCACAACAGAAGCTAAATGATTATTGTCCTTTATGGCCTTTTTCCTGCTGCTGGAGGACCCGAGGGGACCGAGGTTTCGTCCTGCAGATGCGTCTCCAGCAGTCAAAGTGATCCAGGCTCATGAATTATTCCTTACAGCGTGAAATAACTGTTATTATCAGATGGCTCCTCTGCCGTGTGCGTGTGAGACGTTGCCCAAAAGGCACAAATTCCTAAAACATTCCTGGGTGTCCAGTTTATTGTTATGTTTGAAAGGTAATCTTAAACGGCCTGGAGGCACAAAACGCCACAGAAATGTTGAAAACAAAACAATTTCACAAAAATACAAAACAGAAAACACTGTTTCATTAAAACAATCTCAGAAAAAAATAAACGTCAAACTTTATCCTGAAGTGAGGCAAAAAAAGAAAAAATGGGTAAAAGGCCCAAAATGCACCTTTTTTGGCCTTATTCCAAAAATAAAAATATACTTTTTTTGTCGCCACTCAGCTCAACAAAAGTATTTATCATCTAGCGAGTAAGAAAAATCTCTCCGTCTTCCTTTTGTTTAAAAATCTGTAATTTGATAATAAATTCTACGTCAAACAAATGTTGTCAGACATAAAAAACGAAGACCTCGTGTATTTTTCTTTGATTATCTTCAGGCCAGAATAAAATGTTATTAATGTCCGCGGATGGCGCTCATCAATGACGTCACTCACCGCTGGCGTTGAAGAAACCGCGGCTGAGAGGACAGAGCCAGCGTATTTTCCCTGTCACCTTCACCCATTCCAGAAATTTCCCAGAACTCCTAAAGTGGAAATGTGACTTTTGACAGCTTCCATGTTACTGATGACTGGACAGGAATTCCTGGTGCTGCATCCCAGGAATCTTTAATTCCAGGCCCCGCTGACAGTCTGCTGCTTTCAGAGAAGGTAGATTTATGGAGGTGGCATGGGAAAGTTGTCTGTCAGGCTGCAGGTTGTTCCTCCTAACGGGCCGAGCGACCCCGGCCTCCTCGAGGTCAGCGTGATCTGAGTAATTACCGACCAGCAGCTGCAGAGCGCTTTGACCAGCTTTATCTCGACCTCTGTGCTATCATTAAACACCTCAAACCTTCTGAAGGTTCAAGAGAACTCGCGCACGCACGTGTGTGTGTGTGTGTGTGTGTGTGTGTGTGTGTGTGTGTGTGTGTGTGTGTGTGTGTGTGTGTGTGTGTGTGTACCGGTCTCACATCTCTGCATTCAAGGTCCTCATTTTGATCGATGAGTGTGCCACATGTGTGTGTGTTCCCAAAGCTGTGTGTGGAGATGAGTGAGCTGGTATTCCGAGGTGAGCACAAACAGGAACTTCGCATGTCCCTTACTATAAACCCATCTGCTTCCATCCTGGTCCAGATAGAGACTGGATCACCTTATAAGGGCTGTGAGCGTTTAGAGCCTCGTGCAGCTCGGCCGCGGTGTAGCGACCGTTTGGGCTGACGTATGTTCTTGTTATTCCAAACAGAGGAGAAGGAAACAGCTGATTATGGATATCTGCTCTGTGCCCAGGATGAGTAATGCGCCTGTCGGATTCAGCAGATGTTCACCAAGCTCTTGGCAGGCGGAGGAAATCGATAGCAAGACGCGCTTTTTCAGACGGGGAATGAGAGGAGGACATCGTAATGGAGTGATACCCGTCGCTGCTTTGAGCCAGACCGCTGCTGGATGTGACTGCGGTGATGAAATCCAGTCTGAAACACACCAAAGGTGTGCTGCTGAGGTTCTCCGTACACAAATTCAAACTTCATTTCACAGTTTTCCCACCTGCCACAGGTGCAGATTCACCCTCTGTTCCCTGACATTCTCCTTTCAGGGATGTAACCCACTCCTTCTCTTGGCCTCGCTTCACTTTTTTTCACCCTCTGGAGTATTTGCATGTCACCAGTCATCCGCAGAGGGCCTGGAAACACCACAGAGAGGAGAATTCACTTGTTTGTGCAAGGATTGTTTACGATGCAATTCCACACCAGTTGATCCTATCTCACCTCTAAAGCCGTGCAAATGCACTACTCTTGTAGCTCCCAGTCTGGGGGGAGGGGAGAGGGATCGGTTGCGTCACAGCAGTGAAAAATGCATGCTGTGTGTGTGTGTGTGTGTGTGTGTGTGTAGAAACACACATGAGAGTGGAGAGAAGGGAGAAATGTGAAGAAGCACAAAACCACATAGTGGTCATGTGATGAAATCTGTTGTTTTAATGGTTTGTATCTTTTTATGTGTTCGGATGAACAGAAGAGGTGCTGCTCCTTGGAACGCTGGAACGTTCTTATTTTTTGCAATTTTTTTTCATGCATGGAGCCCTAAAAGAGTCATTTGCCTTAATTAAACCTGTGCCTGCTGTGCATCCCACGTCCACCTGTATCCCTGCAGGTCAGGGAGAGGAAAGGACATCCACAGTCAGTGTTCACATGCATGTGCACGTGCACACCCATGCTAGTGTGTTTGTGCACACACACACACACACACACACACACACACACACACACACACACACACACACACACACACACACACACACACGTTTAAAACATTTAACGGTCATATTAAATAAAACACCAGTTACAGAAAAAAGCATGTCTGGTCATTTTTGTCTTTTTTCATCATCCTCTGCCTCGCTCTTGCTCTCCCTGTTGGCCGAACAGCATCATCAGTACCAGGCATCTGAGCAGTTGCCATGACAACGCTATGACGACAGCTGTGGTATTCGTGCGGCATGGGAATCACATGAATGAAGGGGTTTGAACCTGTTGAGTCTCAGAGTTTAGGAGCCTTGTGTGAATGGAAAACGAAACACACGTTTAGCAGGTGCGTGTGTACGCAAAACAAAAATATGATGTTTTTGCTCCCATTTTTCATGAGCTGAACCCAACAGCGTGAAGTTTGCGCAGGTGTGCCTTAGACCAGTCCACAATCCAGTCACAATCAAAGATGACAACTGTTGAGGGAAGCTCTGGCGCTCCTGTTTGATAGGATATAGACGTTGGTCAGAAAAGTGGAGGTGCACGACAGGATGGTGAGGCTTACTCATTAATATTCAACACATGCAAATGTCTCGCCTTTGATTGGCTAACAACAACGAGACTCTTCCGCTGCCTCTGTTTGCTCTTCTTTCCCGGGTAAAAATGCAGCGTTGGTCAGGGTTTCCCCCGGCGCTTTATAAGCCTGGCGGCCCACCAGCCTTTGCTTGCCCACCCGCCAGGCTAAGCGTTATGCCCCGCCCCCTCTCCAACCGTACCCTGTCCGCTGACACGAACGGCGCAACGAAACTAGAGCCCTCCATCAGCTGATTCTGGTGAGAAACAGCAACGAGAAGGGAACGTGTGCAACCACCCCACCCCCACCCCCGCTCTCACAGAGGAGCGCTGCGGGACGGAGCGTGCCATCCCAATCGTTTTCCTCCCTGTGGCTAACGCAGGCAATGGTGCTGGCATGAATGTTTACGTTCAGCTTGTATACACAGCTCAGAGTGCTCATCGTTTGTAAAAAAGAATGAGTTTGACACGGTTTCTCAGAGACCGAGGCCTCAAAACGTTAATCTTGTTTGACCAGAGAGTCACATCTGAACTAATTCTCCTAACTCACATATGTCAGACTCAAGGCCCGCGGGCCAGATGCGGCCCGCAGAGCATTTTTATGTGGCCCGCGAGATAAATATCAAAAATATAGTAAAACTGGCCCGCTGGCCGATTTTACCGCAAAGACTTCAACTTCCATGATGCTTTGCGGCGTCAGCGCGGAGCCGACGCGCCCCCTCCTTTGTGTTTTTTCCAGCGCCTCCTGCCGGTGTCCGCAGCTCCGCTGTCTCGGACAAACTACACTCCTCTCACTCAGCGCCGAGTTCACTCAGCTATTTTTTGACGTTGAAGCCCAGAAACGGAGATTCTGGCCGCTCAGTAATGTGTTCACGACTGAAAGAGAAAGTTTTCCAACTAACGTCCAGACAGAGCTGATATAACTCCAGCGAGCAGCGACACGCTCAAACCAGCATGACTCTGGTTGTGTTTCCTCCCCGACACACAACAACGTGGTCAAGCTGCTCAGACATGTTCAGCAGCACAAACCTATGTGAGCACCTGTTGTCATCTAATGTTGTCATTATTATGATGAAGATGAACAAAACAACAGGAGTCTCCTCCTCAGCTCAGATCAACCCCATGATGCAGGTATCTGGCTGGAACAGGTGAGCATCACAGTAAACCAGTGGAGCAAACTGAGCTTTAAATATGTTGGTTTTCTGCTCTTTTTCTGCTCCAAAACATGAAAGTTAACAGGTGAGATGTTTCATTTTCATTTAAGATGAAATTATATTTTTATTTTGTTGTTGGCCCGTGAGAAAAGATTTAAAAGATTTTAAAAATGCGGATTATACCACAAGTAATGAATACCACTGATGCCCTTTATTTAAAACTGACTTGCTCGTGTGTCATTTGGTTATTCCACATTCAGTGTTAATGCAGAAATAAGTTTGTTTCCAAATTAAAAGGTTCAAAATTGCATATATGTTGATAAAGAAAATGTGCAAATTTGCCGTCACTTTTTCAAAAAATATTAAGTTTGGCCCTCGACTCCGCCCCAGAGTTTCATTTCGGCCCCGTGTGAGTTTGAGTTTGACACCCCTGTCCTAACTGCATGGCTTAAGTTGTTCCCACTCTTTCATACCCCTTCTCATATCACCAGATGGTTCCAATCCAGACTTTTCAATTAGACAGAGCTCCAAACATCTCAAGAATCACTGACAGAAGTTGGACTGAGAGAAAAAAAATATAACAACCTCTCGCTCCAAAGACAGAACATGGAAGACCTTGAATAAAAATGCAGTCTTACGACTGTCATGTTGCGTCACCTGTGGGAAAGACGAGGAGCGTTTGTCCGGAGCAGCTGTGGACGATCTGCATACCACGAAGGCTCACCTCTAATTTCTCCACACATTGTCGCCTTCATGGAGCCTGCAGCCAATGAATAATCACAGGAGGTCAGAGTGGGCGGGAACTGCACCATGACATCATATCCATCATGGCTGCCACAGCTGCCACCAGCTGTTGTGCATTAAGCAAAGTGCAGCAGGCGGATTTGACTGATCCAGTTATGGGATAACTCAATAACATTACAGTGTTAGGGGCTGTTTGGAGCTCTTTATACCATAATGCATTGTGGTTTTACCGCCAGGGGTTGTTGCAAACTTCCATGATGATTACGCTTCTTTGTGGTGATTTAGGGATTACAGCCGGCCTCTGCTCATTTGTCAAATCCCACCGCTCCACTCGATCATCTCCATCAAGGAAAATCGGTGTTGACAATCGGGTGTGCACTCACAGGAGCAGAATCCCATCGAGCAACGCAATCAGATCAAACTCCCAAAGAGTCCTTGGCCTCTGGCGTCATCCGCAATTGTTGCTGGGCTGTAATGCTTCTGTGGAAGTAGGTTAAGTGGTTCATGCCAGCGCATTGCCACACAACAAGCCCGCTCTGACCGAGCGCCGCACAAGAGCTCCTCGGTGAATTTTAGTTTTCCAAAACTCTCCCACACCAGGGAGACGTAGTTTTGAAAGTCAGCAGTTTACAAAAGTGTGCGGTCATTTCGAGGAAAGATTTTTCATCCCCCTTCGGGTTTTGTTGTTGATCTTGGAGTGTGTTTGATTTTTGTGTGACCTGGGTGTGTGTGTGTGTGTGTGTGTTGGGGGGGGGGGGGGGGGGGGTAAAGTGCAGCAGAGACTTCTGACAGTAATTGTTTGGGATGGAGGTGGCAGCTGTGGGAGTACTGCAGGGCAGAAAGTTGATAGTTTGCCCCCCACCCACCCACACACACAGAACTCCACTGAAGCCATGTCCACACTGATGGAGATATTTTTGAATTTGCATCATTTTCTCTGCATCCACGGTGAAGCTGGCCTTTGCCACCATCAGATGCAAAGCTTCTCAGAAACCCTGCAGGGAGCGTGAATGAAAACCTCAGGATACGTGGAAAATCTGACCGTTTGGACAGAGACGATCTTCCAGAGAGAACAAAACAGAGACGGCTGTTTTAGTTTGAGTGGCAATAAAGCTGAGTGTGTGGAACAACGCTCATCTTAACGCACAGCTATTTTAGCATCGACACAACCCTGCTGTTACGCAAATAGGTACAATTTTAGCATTTTCCCTCAGAGTAAACGTCAAAATAGTTATAGTTTAAGTGTTTGGCAAACGTTATAGACGAGTTAAATAATTATCCTCAAATGTTATTATGTCATTAAAGAGTAAAAACGCCCAATTTCACATTTCAGTCCATAATAAATGTAGGTCACCCCTACCTGTGCGGAGCATTCATTTATCTGTAGAACTGTAGTTTTTCTAAAAAAACGATCCATAGCAGAAAGTGAAGAAATGTTATATAATATATAATAATTAGTTTATTTTCAAATGAAAACATAACTCGTGCCATTCCGGTTTGTTTAGAAGAAAAGGATTTTTCCACCAGTTCTTGGTTTTCACATATTTGCTAACCCTCGCTGGCGACCCAAAGCATGACTCCGGTCGGTAATCACAGGTTCTGGCTGCGTTTGGCCCATAAAGCTTTCATTAATGGTGCAGGCTTGTCTTTCAGAGTCTGACGCTGCTGCAAATGCTTGGACGACGCGTGTCGGTTGAATCGGTTTTAAAATTGGGAAGGCATCGATGTGTGTTGCTAAATCTCAGCTCCTGAACTTTATCTGGAGGCCCGCATCAGCCTCAGCCTCCTCTGTCTACTGGCTTGTTGGTCTGGGTCGGCGGAGTAGGACGGTATAGATGCCTTTTACAGGCTTCCATCTTCTACTTCATCCTGTTCTTCACATCCTTCCTTCAGCTCGAGTCTTATTTTGTCCGCCTTCCTTCCTTCCTCTCAGGTCTGTGTAGGTAGGAAACAGCACTTGTGCACATGCATGCATGTTTCACATGGCGTGTTTGTGTAGCGTAGACACAACACGGACAGCCCTCATGAGCAGAGCAGCAGCATGTGTGGAAGTCATTAGAGGTCCAGATAGACGCAGAAGGTAGGAGTGTGTGCGACTCACATGCAGGCCCGCGGGCCGTGCTCTGTCCACGGGGGGTTCTGATGTGGCCGTTGGAGTAATCTGGGTCAGTCGGAGGCCGGGAGAGAGTGAGACGTTCCTACAACTGCGTGACCTGATTACTTTTGCAACATCATTATTTTCCCAGACGGTCACAGAGATTCCGAACCAGGAAGTCCTTCTGTATCCGCCCCCTCCTTAATGCAGCAGCACACGTGCACACATTCACATTTTTACCCGTAGGAGAGGAAACAGCTCTGAACCGAGGGGACCGAGAGGTGAGCATTACAAATGGTTTGATCTCACGTTCAACCGTCACATACGTGACCCCGAAGCCCTCCTGCTTCCAGATCCGAACGCCCCACAGGATGAAATTTATCATTTATGAAGTTGGAGCTGTTTCCTCATTGTTCTGTTTTTGTGCACAACACCCATTAGCGAGAGAAGAATCTGCCATCTTTCTTACAGCATGTCTGCCTAAATCCCTGCAACCCGATCCAGCAGCTCATTCCTTCTTTTACTGCCTCGCTCCCCTCGTTTCTCTTTTTGCTTCATTTCTCCCGAGCCCACCTCTCCCTCTCGAGCCACGGACTCCTGCCAGTGGCTGTTAGAGGAATCTGATTTGCGATGATTACATTAACATTCTCCAGATGTTCGTCGTCAGACTTCTGACACGTCTGTCCCACAATCTCGGAGAGCGAAGACGGTGCACGGCTACGCGGTGTCAGAGCTGCGGGGGAATGCTGTTTCTCAGCAGCGCTCAAAGAGACGTATGAGATGAACTTGGAGCGGACTCAAAGGAAATGAGGTGCGATCTTTCAAGGGAAATATTGCTGATGTGGACAAGAATGAAAACACAGAGCGAGGTGGATGAGAGGGCACTGAGATCAACAGAAATGTGCGTAAGAATCAAGAGGCGGGACCTTAAAAGGATGTGAGCTTTAGTTTCAGAGGAGATGCTCGATTCCCTGAACTCCAGTCCATCTGTTTGGCTGTGTCTTTGTGGGATTTGGTGCTGCGTGATCCCAGGAAGTGGTCTGCAATCCACTTGGGAACATGATCTTCTTAATATGTCCCCAAAGCCCATCCCTCCCTCTGGCTTTTCAGATGGACCAATCTTCAACAAGGAATCTAAACGGTCTCAGAAACAAAGTGAGAATTAGAAACACGTCTAATATTAAGCAGATCTGTTATCTGTTAACGGCGTTTGGTGGAGCTGTGACTTGTCCCGAGTCCAGCGTGCTCGCTGAGACGCATCTTCAAAAGCTAAAAACAAAGTAAAGAACAAAGGAAAGACAGACGGTTGTGTTCCAGGAGGAGATGAAGAAGGGAACTCTGGGAGAGACTCGGGCTTTTACCAGAACTAGAAAAGAGTTGTGTTCCTCTGTTCGAAGGAAACTTAGGGCGTATTCATAAATAAATAAAATAAAACCAAATCCAACAGAAAACATTTTTTTCTGAAAGTAACTTATAGACTTTAAAATGTTTCTCTAGTTTTATCAAAACTTTTTTTCCTAATATTAAAATTTTGATGTTTTTTTCTGTTCAAAATGACCAAAAGCCTCTGAAAGCCACAAGTTGCAAAATGCACACAGATAAGCATTTTGTGCAAACATTCTGACAGTTTTCTCAGGCTGTGTGTGTGTGTGTGTGTGTGTGTGTGTGTGTGTGTGTGTGTGTGTGTGTGTGTGTGTGTGTGTGTGTGTGTGTGTGTGTGTGTCTGCATTCCTTTTCACGTTTGTCTCCCAGTAAGTGTCGTGTTTGCGGCACTTCCGCGGTGAGAATGGGAATCTGTAATCTTGATGCAGATGTTCTCTTGCAGGGTGATTATTGTGGACTCTGTGCTGTGATCATGTCGAGCTGCATTCTTTCTCTTTGATCATTTGTCGAACATCAAGCCTAAAACTACCAGACGTGAAGTTATTAATATGTTTAAAATGAGACGTCAGTTTCCTTCGTTCTGCAGTTAATGAATCGTCGTCATTAGGAGATGAACGAATCTGCAGCTGAAAGGTGAGAAGGAGGTGATAATGTTTTTGCCTGTGTGTGTGTGTGTGTGTGTGTGTGTGTGTGTGTGTGTGTTCTTTTGACTGAGACTGTTAATAAAATATCTCATAAACTACAGAATGGAACTCTCAGAAAACCAAATCCTAGAAATCTAGACCACAGGCTAGCCACGCTCCATTAAAGCCTCAGCAGGTCCCCTGTTGGCTCTACTACTTTTAGGTGTAGCCAATCACAGCACTCCGTGGTTGTAGAGAGACACTGGGCGAGCTTTGCAGAAAAACTACAAAGATGGCATCGGCTCAGGAACGGTGCTTCGTTGACTTTATGACGAACTGTGGACGACTTCGACTTTTCTTTGAGGCGTGAGCAGACAGAAATACTCTAGTCATTTATTTAGAAAAATGGTCAAGGTCAAATATATGTATAGAGTATAGTGCTGTACGAGACATAGCTACATAATACACCCAAAAGGATGTATTTGCTTCTTCATCTTCTTCAACGGTTTATGGTGAACGGCCCTGCTGACTGATTTCTGTATCGATGAATACGTCACGTTGTTCGTTTACCTGACTGGTCCTAGCGCCGTCCAACAGCATGCAGAAAGAGTTTGGTCCCTTATTGTCAAAGACGTCATTTGGGTGAGATGGGGTGAGAAGCTCGGTCATCTGGGAGGGGCTCGGAGTAGACCCGCTGCTCCTCCACATAAAGGAGCCAGTTGAGGTGGCTCGGACATCTAGTTAGAACGCCTCCTGGACGCCTCCCTGGTGAGGTTTTCTGGGCACGTCCAACCAGGAGGAGACCTGAAGGAAGACCCAGGACACGCTGGAGGCACTTTGTCTCTCATCTGGCCAGGGAACACCTTGGGATTCCCTCAGGGAAGACATGAGCAGAGGGTTTGGACCAGCAACCCACAGATTTCAGGGCCAACTTTTAACTCCTGATCCACCGTCGCTCCGATCTACACAAATAAGCAGCAGCATTAAGACTTCATTGAAGTTTCACGTTATGTAACCAAACCAGCTCCGATGGAGTGTTGTGTGGCATCAGGTGCCTTCATGCCTCTGATTTGTGTTGAGTTACGGCTTCTCAGCAGGTTAAAGCGACACACACCTTAATGTGTGCACCTTGAGCAAACACACACACACACACACACACACACACACACACACACACACACACACACACACACACACACACACACACACACACACACACACACACACACACACGTTCATCCAATCCAATCTTCAGCTTTTACATTCAATGTCCAGTTTTGTCGACGCCGTTTTGCTTCAGCGGCTTTAATTTGGTTAAATAATCAACAAGAACCTGTTTTGTAAAACTCATCTGACATCTCTGATTTTAGCTCTCCATTTTAGAATTCCCACTTCATCTCAATGCTGGAAAAGCTTCTGGAATTCTGCTCAAACATATAAGGACTTTTGGTTCCGAACCCCCCCCCCCCCCTCCAGTTGCACAGGAAGTGCGTGAGGGTAGCGGAGCGTACACACGCAGGGTGCCTGGCCAGCCTCCAACAGGAAGAGGAAGTGCCCCTACATGTTTTCCTCAGAGACGTGACGGGATGACATATG